CTCTAAAACCTCTTCAGGCATGTTTTTGAAGAGGGAACAACAAACAACAGAAAAAAAAAAATATATATATATAGCATAATACCCCCTCTTTAAAATAATGTCTGCATTTGGGAAATATATTTTAGAAACTGTGCCTCTTTTTCCATGAGGCATTAAGGCGTTAGAGCTCAGTCTTCTTTAGAAAGTAAACTAATAAAGTCATTTTCACCTGTGAATGGAAGATAAGCCGTGTGTTTGTTGTGAACACAGTTTGAGCGCAGAATGAGTCCAGTGATGGTTTATGGACTTAAAAACTGCTCAGGAGAAGTTAGAAGTTTTATCTATGACATAACTAAACAGGTAATATGCAAACAGTGCAATTAAAACTACTTTTAATGTAGATTCAAGGAGCAGTTGTGTAGCAGTTCTGGTGGAGGGTCCATCACCTGCTTGTCTCAGTGGAGATATCACTGTTTTGTCTTGATTATTCAAGTTAATAGTCTGATCTATGGACAAGTAAGCCTGCACATAGTAAGAATTCATGTTTTTAACGTATGACGATAACTGATATCACCCGATACTACAGCAGAGACTGAAAATATTATTTATTTTCTATAAACAAACGATGTATGGCAAAAAAAAAAATCCAAATGTGGTTTGGAGATGTTATTTATCAATTTCAATAACAATAAAGAGATGTTTTGAGCCAAATTGGCCAGTAAATCGTCTTAGTACCTCAATTTATAGACCAAGATGGGATATCAATTGAACAGATACCCTGAAACAGATTTCCAATCCATGAAAATGTTATATATCGGCGCCAATATCCACCAATATTGTACCGATGCACGTGTGAATGAAATGAAAATACACCTCCAGGTATGTTTTTGATGATGAGACAACATAATAACCTGGCTAAAGGATAAAAAAGTCAATTATACATACTATGTGTTTTTTAATGAAGGTTTCCAGCTGTGGAATTCTAAGAAAAGCAAACAGAGGAATGATTTAAGCGTCTTCCTCGGCTCTTGTACCATTGTGAACTATGTACAGGACAAATGAGCACAAAGCTGCTCTAATAGGCTGTGTGTGGTGAGGAAGCAGGTTGCATTTTAATCACTCAGATAAATGGTGTATCAGATCCCAGCTCTGTGCCTTATATTTCATGCTCCGGCGGGCCCTTGTTTACCTTGGTGCTCTGAGAAACATTTATTATGCATTCAGTCTGCAGCCAACTGTTGTTTTGCACCCAACACTGAAAATCACTGATGAGGATTAAGATTATTAACTGATGCAGAGTTTTCAAAGTATGGCGCTAAAAGTTTAACTCACTTCCAAAAAAATATCCTTAAAGGGTCTGGGTATTATCCAGAATTGATTTTTTTTTTTAGCTTTCTACCCTGTTATAACATTGTTCCCTATCAAAAACATGCCTGAAGAGGTTTGAGATGTCATCCATGCATGTTTGAGTAATCTAGTGATCTCTCCCGGGCCCCGTTCAGCCCCTCCTCACAGTAAGATGGAAGATTCTGTACAAGGCTCCACCCACAAGCCTACACCCATGCTCCCACATGACAATTCTCCATAAATATACAAAAACATGATACAAAACTGTACACAACGACTTCACAAACCTGATGTGATGTGCAGGAGTTTCATTAGAGGGACGCACGCTGATTGTTGTGAAGCAAAGGGAGGAGCGCCAAAAACTAAAATGAAACTTATAAAACTAAAATGTTAAGGGGAGTATAGCATTTTCAAAACAATAACAGGTAACATGGTTATCTAAATATGTTACAGTATGTGTTAGCGCTTAATACCCCACAAAAGTAAAAAAAAAACAAAAAAAAAACCTCAGAACACAGCACATCTAATTATAAAGCATTTTTGTTAGCATGCTAGTTGTTGTTAGGTGTACTCCAGACAATGAAACTCCGTTCTGTTCTGTAAAAGTTGTGAAAAGTGCCTCTAAACTCATCCAGGTGAATAATTAGAATGCATAAGGCAGGTGTCTCCTACTTGTTTCCTCTGGTGAGCTACCTTTACAAAAGCAAACTGCCACAGAACGACTCATTTTAGTTTCAGTCACAAGAAACCGAGTAAATATAAGAGCCTAAGTACAGTTTGATATAAAACATTTACACAATAATAAAATAATTATAATGCATCACTTTTATATTGCGCTTTTCCGGATACTCAAAGACGCTTGACAGATCATTGTTCATTCTCCCCACACTCTGTGGTGGTAAACCACTATTGTTGCCACAGCTGCCTTGGGGCAACCTGACAGAAACAAGGCTGCCAGTCTGCGCCATCGGCCCCATTCGACCACCACAACACTCACACACACACCACTTTCATACTAGGCAATGTGGGTGAAGTGCCTTGCCTAAGGACAGGACCAGTGGTCCAAGTACTGACCGGGCCCTGCTGAGCAAAAGAGATCTGACCAGATCCACCACACACAACTCACAACTATTATCCACTTATTAGTCCACAAAGTCAAGCATCAAAATATGCATTTACAATGATAACAGGCATTTACTTCTATCAAATGTGAGTTACTTAGAACAATACTTATGATTCAGGAATCCCTTGGTGAGCTACTCTGGAGGGGGTGGACAGCTACATGCTGGAGACTCCTGGTATAAGGTAAGTGAGGAAAAGAAATTAAAATGAAGTTTGTTTCTCCACATTTTTTAAATGGTAAAATCAAGTGTAGAGCCTTAAAAGTCATTTTGAAAAGTTATAATATATACAACATATGCAGTCAATCTGTAATGTACTAGCCTGTGTATTTCATGTTGCCATCTGTGCCCGGTAACAGTGGCACAAGAACTGGTACGATGATGAATGGAGAAGTTTAAGTTAGGCTAACAACAACAGCTGTTACCTCTGACATTTATCAGCCATGGTTTCTAAAGATGTTTGTGGCAACTAGGAAAAAGTTAGAAAGATTTAAATAATTTTACAGCGCAAAAGGAACATATGATACTGTTTTTAATGTCTTCAAATAAGAAAAAGAGAACTAGTTCATTTTAAACAAAGTTATTCCTTACCTTATGCATTCAGAGCATCCTGATTATCCACTGCAATGAGTCTGAGAGCTTTTCACAACTTTCAGAGACCAGAGTCATGCTAACGCTCGTATCTTGAGCAATGAATGAGGAAACGCTTGCTAATTAGATGCATACATCACACAGCAGACTTATTTTGACCTCAAGAGCTGTTTATACAATATATCTGTACTGGGGCAAGACACATTTTGCTGAAATACATGGAAAAATAGAGTACAGACTAGGGGCCAACTGATATATCAGTTGGCCGATATTATCAGCCAATATGAGCACTTGGAGACATATCGATCTAAATCTCGCCGATATGGGTCGATAGTCCACGTGGGCATGTTATACCTTAGACTCTCTATTATGTCCATTTAATCCAGTTTACAGACAAATGTCCTCATATGTGGCGCTACATTCAAATTTATCAGAAGAGTAACTGTTTACACCCGTGCACAACTATAGATCCACGTGCACAACACTGAGACACTGCTTTAAACGCTCTTGTGTCTGATCCACAATAGTGATGAGAAATAAAAGTGAACTTCAGCCTAGTTTAGGCCAAAAACAAAACTACTGCCGTATTTATCAAAGTGAGTGTGTGGAGAAGAAAGGACTGTCCCCACAGACAGAGGACTGCAGAGGACTTATGTATTAATTAGTTTACTTACTTTTTTTACTGGCTAGAATGTGAATGCCACCTAATGTCTTTAATTATGACGTAAAGAGGCAAAATAACAATAAATGTAGCCTAAACAAACCCGATTTAAAACCCAGAGGAACCAACTGAAGATTTACAGTGAATTTTTACATCACTAAATATATTGGTTTTTAATATCAGCTATCAGCACCTACAACTCCCGTTTTATCATATGAGCCACAAAAAAAAATTTAAAATTGGTATCAGTGGGGCTCTCGTATAAACCCTTTAGTAAAGAGTAAAAGAGAAAAATGTCTTCTTGGGAGGTGCAGGTTGTTTCTGTAACAAAGTGTTGGGTAATTAAACTTATAAACACATAAAATTTGACAAATCATATCCACAAATTGCAGAAAATCAAAGCAATCCCATCCACAAATACGATTATACTTCTCTGAAGTTTCCCAGAGTGTAGTGAATCGATGCTGCAGTGTGATCATATAAGGAGCTTTAAACTTTCTCATTGTTGACTTGCAGTTGTGAACGGCTGTGCTTATTTTCTATAGTGGTGTCTGCTCTCACCAGTCTGAAAGCTTAAAGTAACATCCAATCTCAGCGAGGGTCAAGGGAAGGAATTGCTTCAAAATATCACGCCTCAGATGTTCTCGAAAATATGAAGCATTTTTGGGTTTTCTCTCCCTATCTTCTCCCTCTCTTTTGTATTGTACACGCTGGAGAGCTGTGTGTGTGTGTGTGTGTGTGTGTGTGTGTGTGTGCGCGCATGCGTGTGTGTGTGCCTGTGCACGATTTTCTTAACAAAAATACATATTGTAAATCTAAACACTAATAAGATTCACCAGGCACGTTTCAAAGGACTCTATGTAAGATTGCAATCGGTGTTTCTGTTCAAGGTGATTGCGTTGCCAGTTTCAATGGTGAAATCCAGTGTTTAAACCTAAAATGTCTCTCTCTGATCTGAACAGTCTCTACCTAAAGTCCAGCACCTGCATCAATCCTGAATCAATGCTAGTGCAGCTTCTGCAGCTCAGGGAGGGAATTCTGGAGGTTCTGAGCTTCACTTGAGAAATAAAAAAAAATAAAAAATAGTAAGTTTGGTGCTATACTTCAGCCAAAGGAACAAAACAAGCAGGAGACGATCCTGCTCCAGGCCAAATTAGAGTTAGGTTTGTGGAGATGCAAGCCCATTCACACAGTAAGGACACATTTTCCATATTTTCAGCGCAACAAAGATATGGGGCCACCCCCCTCCTCCTCCCACTGTTCTTCCCCCTGCTCCTGGCCCCGCCCCCTTCTTCACTCACCTGTCTCCTCCCCCTCCCCCTGCTCCTCCCCCTCCTCGTGGCTCAGGGCGCCCTCCTCCTCGCAGCACACACTCCATCGGGACAGCACGGCATTGTCGCAGAGGCGCAGGCTGAGCCAGGAGTGGCAGGGTGGGGAGTGGCGCATATCCAGGGTGACGGGCTGGTTGCGGTCGTGGAGCTTGAGGGCGGGCACGAGCAGGGTGAAGTCCAGGTGGAAGTCGGCCCCTTTGGCGTAGTTGCCCAGGTCCGAGGGGTCGAGGTCCAGCACGCCGTCACGCGCCCCACCGGACAGCAGCAGGTACTCGTTGGCCACTGGGAGGCGCTGGTCAATTTTCTGGACAAGACCTGGAAAGGAAGAAAAGACAGATTAGCCTCTTAATTAGAATAGGCTCTGTGCACAACAGCGTCCGGCAACATTACTGTTAGCATCACCACTTCCTGTCCAATTTGATCTCTATGTGTTTTTGCTGAATTGTGCTCAAATGAATAAATATTTAAAGATAAGGCAGTGAACAGCTGTGGGTGGATGTCACATGTTACCAGTGTTGGGGAGTAACAGATTACATGTACTGGAGTTATGTAATCAGAGTACAAATTATGAGTAACTGTATTCAGTTACAGTTACTGTTTCAGTGAGTGGTAATTGGATAACAGTTACTTTGTTGAAATAAATGGATTACATGGCGATATTTTCCTGTTTTTAAAGGAAACCAGGACTAAAACCAGGTCTAAAACCAGGTCTAAACCAGGACTAAAACCAGGTCTAAACCCAGGTCTAAACCAGGTCTAAAACCAGGTCTAAACCAGGTCTAAAACCAGGTCTAAACCAGGACTAAACCCAGGTCTAAACCAGGTCTAAACCAGGTCTAAACCAGGACTAAAACCAGGTCTAAAACAGGATTTAACAGGACTAAACCATGCCGCTCAGACCTTGTCTCCTCCTCTTCTATCAATATTTTTTAATACGGTTAAGGAAAGTCTGGGCTTTTTATTGTCTTTTAGCAGACAAAACTTCTTATGTGAAAATATCCTAGTCTTTGATTCTCTACAGCAAATCAGTAAAGTAAAGTAATCCAAACTATTCAGATTATGTTACTCACTTTAAGTACCTTAATGGATTCCGTTACAAACTCCAGTTAGGGGTATGTAATCTGTAATCTGTAAGGGAATATATTTTAAAAGTAACCTTCCCAACACTGTCTATTGGCCATTTATACTTAATACAGATGGGCACAGCTAAAATTCATATTGTGAAAATGCTGGTTTTTGTAGTGGTAGAGTGAGTTCCTGGGTCTAGTACCACACGCACCAAATCAAGTTCTGAAAAGCACCAACTCAAGACAATTAGTACAAATTCTCTAACATGCTTTCAAAACTCATTTAACCTCAAGTTGGCAAATGTGGTAATTAAAATTGTGATTTTGCTTGTGATTAATCTTGCAACTCTTAATTACAATTTCAAGTTTGTGTGTTCAGCTTCATAATTCATTCAGACTTAATAAACAGTAAAACAAGGTCACTAAATTAATTTCCAAGAGTCCGTTATGGATTTACTCCTCAGGCACTCAAGTCAAGGTGGGTGAAGTGTGTTGCTCAAGGACAAAGTAGCTACTGCTGCTCCAAAGCTCATTTAATGTATGTAATGAGGACCCACACATGAGTACACGTTTGTGCAAAGAAGGTCACACTAATGCAGTCAAAACTAAAGTGCATATGAGCAGGTATACTCCTTACACTAAACAAACATAAACATGCTACTCAGAAGAAGAGCAATAACTCGATCTACTAAAAGAATACCTGAAAAGAAAATCTACAAGAATAAAACAGACTGAGAACCAAGTGGTAAGAGTCAAATACCGTATTTTCCGCACTATAGAGCGCGCTTTTAAGCCTCCAACCCCATCAATCCAGAGCACCCTATACACAAATCCACTCATGTGTCCCAGCACGACTTCAGTAAGATACAAAGCCCCACCACCCGCAGAACACACAAACACACACAGAGCAGAGAGCGGCCGCGCAGCGACAAACACCCACAGACACACTCATCACTCCACGCTGACGAGGAACGGAACGGAGGAACGAACCGAAAAAGCGAGGGCACTGTGCCACTTCTAGACACAACTGAACAACTGAGTCACTGCGAACAAGCCGACAATCCAGCGGTCCCAGACGGCACCCTCCCTACACGCCACAACTGAACAAAGCCCAGAGTCACCGTGAACGCCACAAACAAACAAAACCACTCACCCATCACACTGTTGGGTTTCCTTTAAAGTCCGGTGTGGTTTATTTGTGAAAAAAGTTCGAAAATAGACCATTTAATGACAGTGCGCCTTATAATCAGGAGCGCCTATTAGCCCTGAAAATACAGTATATACATAATTATCTGGACCATAAGTAGTGCACAACACTTTTCAAATGTGTTACTTTCTACCACAGCATGGGAAACCAAAATTGAGGCCTGTAAAAACATGTGTCCTTGAAGCACACTGATTCTGCAGAGTAAACAAAGGAGTTAGCATTGTTGTTGCCGTTGTCAGGCTGCACTCTCCATAGAACAGCTTTTCTACTAAATGAAGGTATCAAAGAGGAAACACAAATGTTTTTATCAGAGTGTTTACGCAGTGAGTCTGCAGAGCCTCCATAGACTACATGTAACCTGCTCTGGGCGTTAGCAGGAGCATTATCCACCGAGGTAAACAGCAGCCAAGCTCGCATCTACAGGTCCTCGCTGTGGAAAATACAGAGTGGAATCAAATACCAACACCTGAAAAATGTGCAATAAGCTTTTGCTGATATCAGTACCGGTATCAGAACAACCCTATTTTTAAAAGGCCCATCTCATGCAAAATCAACTTTTCAGAGCTTTCTACCTTAAGAGTGATGTGTGGGCCTTGAATATGTCGCCCAAGTGTTTTTTAGATTGATTCTGTGTTTTTTTTTAACAAATTGCAGCATATTTCTGCCACCCTCCCACATGACAACGAACTAAAGCTGCTACAACAATGAAGTGGCAGATACACCTATGACACGTTTGACATAGCAGAAAGCGCTTCCCATTTTTGTTTGCGAGCGACACTTCGCTGAAGACGCTTTGAGAACTATGGGTGTTTTAAAACTGGACTTACAACGAAGCAGAAGTGACACTTTGGAAAAGGATGCTGTTCCCACGATACCAGGGTCCAGTGATGGAGATCCTAGATCTGTAAGTTTACCGCGAGTAAACCGCTGAAGAGAACTAAAAACAAACTGCATCTTTTATTTTTGAAGATTATCCGATATATAATTTCAATCTGCATGTCATCTCCCTTGTTCTACCTGTTTTAGTTTGGCAAACGTCATGTCGTCTTACGATATTACATTGATACTAACAACAGACTTAGGGCATCATTTTATTCTAGTGACTTGTCTTCAATGATTCTGCACGAGAAAAAAATGGCGATTACACCTCAGTCATTACGACCACTGATGTTTAGTGTCGCCTGTACAGATTATGACCACCTCATTTGATCGAACATTATTATAGGATTCAAGTTTGCCCAATTCTGCTTCTGTCTCCCCCTCCCTCCCTGAGATGGGTGGAGGAAGGGCGGCTCACTCAGAGCCTACGTCACATTTGGAGGGCGGAGCCTGTGCTTTCTCAGGATGGGCGGGGGGAGGAGCAATAGTCGACCTTTCATAGTTCCTGGTCTGTGACTGTCTCCAAGAAATCAGTAAGATTTCAGAACTATTGTGTAATGGATGTTCTAAAACCCAAATTGTGCTTGTTTATGTGCAGAAGATACAATGTGAAAAGAGTTATTTTGCATGAGATGGGCCCTTTAAGTTAATTTTGGTGCAGTTTGGAATTTTACATCCTATTTTCCCTGCCTTCTATTGAATGTCAGTAGTGGATAAATTCAAGTCAGTTCTCCCGACATCTGTTGTAAATGTGTTCCATTACAACAGTCGGGGAAAATATGGTTGCCCGGGAAAGTTTAATGTAACGCATCGCTAGCTCCTGCTAATAAATAGTCTGTTAGCTAACGCTAGCCGTCAGCAACTCAGTTATGGCAGTTTGACTTTTACATGTTCAGAAAAAAACTGTCTACTGTCAAATGATGTGAAAGAAAGTCTAAATGTCACTACAAAGTTTTTAGAAGACACTTTCTCTACACATACAGAACTTAACATATTGAAATGACGTAAAGACAATTCTCCCTGTGATGTTTGCTGTGCCCAGGTTTGTGTTTCGGAAAAATCGATTTGATTGACCGTTCCATTGTGCTTTCTTGAGGTGAAGGTAAATTTTCCCAAGCACAAGAGAATAAAGCTAACTGTATGCTAGTAGCCATAACGTTAACAAGGGCCAAAACTTGTCTGAATTGCACAATAGTTAAAATTGGACCAATAGAAATAAATGTCAACACCTTTATTTTGTTAAATGAAGGTTTAAACTTTGTGGGCGGCAACCCCTATTCCGACATACCGTCACTCCGACAGCCCCCAATCCGACATACTGTCATTCCGACAACCCTGCACCCCGACATGCCCCCATTCCGACACTTTGATGCCCCCATTCCGACACTGATGAAGCCGAACTAAAGCTCTAATGGCACGAGAGGCGGCCACATAGGGAGCAGCTCCTCCTACCGACAAACACCGCCTACCGACCTGAATTCAGCACTAGAGCCTGTACTGGGACAGAAAGACAGTCTGCAGACAGAATAAGGTGTGTCGGAATGGAGGGATGTTGGAAAAAAAAAAGGCTTAAGTGCTGCCACTCCGACCAAAGGAAAAAAAAACTAAACGTTGGAGTGCAGGGACGTGAGATAAAAAATGAAAATGCCGCTACTCCGACAATTAGACGTCAATGTTGGAATGGCAACGTGTAACCAAACTTTGTTCTGTACTTCCTGTGGTTCTTCCTGTATTTATTTGTATTTTTTCATACTCATCTTCTCAACTTTTTCCACAAACTACAGCTTAATTGATAAAAAACAATGATGAATATTGACCACAAAACCAATTTATCCCACCGAACTAAGTCACATTTAGAAAAGACATGAAAACCTGTCACATTCACTTTCATTTTTAAGCCAAAACTAAATTGTGGCTCTAAACGCTGAAAAGAAAAGTTTAAAATCCTGTGTTCTGAATCCCCAGTAAGAGTCCCTGTCAATATTTCATCAGAGCGCTGGCTGCTGCTTCATTACCACACACCGAGGCCAGCTGCTGCTCTCTTTGTTTGGAACGAGCACTGTCACACGGCTATAACCCATATGGCGTCTACTCTGTCAATTATTAAGAGTTCTTTAGCAGACAAAATAACCGAGCCTATCAATTTTAATGTAACATACCCC